CTCAGCAAGCACAGCAAGCAAACCTTTGCAAAAACAAATGTGCACAACCACAAATACTAATACATTTACCAATTAGTGTTGGAATTTAGATTGCTTTTGTCATCTGAAATCAATTTCTAGAGAATGAGCAATAAAATAAAATTAAAAAAAGTTACAATAGCAAAGTAAGTCTGCAGCGCCCTCTTGTGTTAGCTGCTAAGATTACATGTTTTTAAAAATCAATAAAGGGGGGCAATGGCACAGGGTCAGGCTGCAGTTTTTATTGAAGTGTTACATTACAGAAACACAAAAAAAGCCTAAACGAATTAAAAAAGTAAAATTACCACAAATTTGTGTCAAAAAATGATGTTAAACAAACAATATGTCACATAGAACAATCTGAAACAGATGCTAAATCAGTAAATCACATAAAAATATGCTAATTATTTTTTAAAAAGGTAGGAAATGATTACACTGTCTTTCCAACGATACATTTTTTTACATAGAAATGCAAAAAAAAAAAAAAAAATTATTTAATGAGCGTGCCCTCTAAATGAACTATTTGATCCTGATTAAAAGCATCTGTAAAACGTTTATGAACAGCTTTTTGCTCCACAAATCACAGTTTGTTGCTTTTAACATGATTATTTTAAAATATTTATTTTTAAAATGTTTATTTTCTTGTAATGTTATGACTATATAACATTGAAATATTCAGTTTTCATTCTTCTTTTAATTGTCATTTTAGGCCATGAATGAACTTACATGAAGAATACCAGTATGTGACAATCAGCTGTTCCAACCCAAGTAGTAATAAATAGACAAAAAATAATAATTAAAAAGAAGCAAAAACACAACATATAAAAAAAGGGTATGAATGCAACTTAAACAACAGCAATAAGAGGTTAAACAAATATAAACGATGTGTGCTATGAGTTGCAATCAGCCAAAACTTATACACGAACAAAATAAAATGAACAATTTTTGACCAAAACAATTACAATATAAGGCTTACAACGAAATATGAAATAAATCAAATGAGCAAAGATAAGTCCCAAAAAAGATCATAATCTATTAACCATGACAAAACAGCCAAAAAGAGGAAAAAAAATTAGCTTAAACAGAGATGATTATAGTGTTGTGAAAGGATGAAATTATTATAAAATGTCTGTCTTTGCACAGCTACGACTGTATGGTGTAGCTTATTTCCACTGCTGATGGAGCCACTGTTGCAGATATAAAGCTAAATTACACTATATATAATTATATATATTTAAATAAACCACTGATTTGTGATTTTCAGATGTGCATTACAGACTGACGCCTGCTATTTGTGCAGCCTCGGTGTAAACGTCCGCAGCCTGTTTCCTGTATCTCTGTGATAACTCCTTGGCTCGCCTCACTTCCTTCAAGTTCTCCTCCAGGTTTTCAGTCAGCCTTCCTTGCTCTTGGTAAGTTTCTGCTGCCGCCTTCACTTGCTCAGCCATTTGACTGTGGCTACGGAGAAGCCACCCAATTAGCTCCTGGAGTGTGGTACCCTTTGAGATGGTGGCCTTGGCGTTGGCAGAAAGAGCTTTGATTTCATTCTGCGCCCACTGCAGCCTTGTAGGCAGTGGTTCTTCCTCATTTTCATCATTAGGTCCATCAGGTCCAACAGGGTCCACTGCCAGGGAGAAGTCGTAGCCGTTTATCTTCAAAGAGACGTGATGCATATCCTCTGAAAGGAAAAAGAAGCGATGGAAACAAACTGTAAACTAAAACAAGAGGCGTCTGCTATCGCTTTGCTGGGAATAAAAGGTTTGTCGCTCACGCTGCTCATCACGGATCTCCTTCACACATTCAGCAAAGGTCAGGTTATCATCTCTGGCACAGCTGTAGTTCTGCCTCAGGTTTTTTATGTGCCGGACCATGGCCTCGTAGTGCTCTTGCTGCTCAGTGAAGTACTCCGCCATCTCGGTAAACCTCTGATCGAGCTCCGGCGCGTGGACTCTCCTCATCATCAGCCTGCCACTCTGTCTCGCAGGCTGTGAGTCTGTGCAAGGCCCAGAGAAATAAAAGCACAGGCCTAAAATATTCATCAGCATGATTTAGGAGAGAAAAGCACACAAAGGACATACCACAGTGAGCTGGGCAGGCCTGCCTGGCAGATTCAGCTCCATTCACTTTAGATGGTGAGCTGGGCTGCAGCAGAGGTCGTCTCTGAAATAACAGAAGTTTTGTGTTTACGCAACTTTATTTTTGCTGATTTATAAGAAGAAAAAAAAACACTAATTAAATACACGTAAACACTAATACTCCACATAAAAGATAATATATAATTTTAAATGACAGGGAAGTAGGTCATATATATATTACAAAGCAAGAACTTGCTATAACTGAGGAAACGCAGATAAAGAGAAACAGTAGAACGTTTCTAAATAAAAACTTTAGAGTAAACTCAGTACAGATTATTAAACGTACCTCGGTGTTGGCGTTATCTCCGGGACAGAGACAACAGCAGAGAAAACGGAGCATTTTCTGCAGCTCTGTGCTTCTCACTTTGTTTCAGGTCAGTAAATCTTCTCAGTGTGTTTGTGGACTGCATTCCACGTGACGTCAGCGTCACGCGACTTCCATCGACATCTTCCTGGTTGTGTTTTTTTCTGGCAGGTGCACCTACAGGTAGCTCCTTAACACGCGCACAAAACGGAGTTAATCATTTCACATTTATTTAATTGTAGTTGGTGAAATAAAAGGTTAATCCCAGGTAACCTAATAATCCCAGTGTATGTTATTATAAACCTGCGAAATTCAAACAATCGCAAATCTGGGTTTGCATAGCTCGTGAAAGTATGGCAGCCCGTTGTAGCATATAATCGACACACCTACTTTTTAAAAAAAAGTTCAAGTCAAGTTTATTGTCATTCACATGTGTACGACGGAGTATTAGGGGCATGCTAAAGCAAAAAAAATTAAAATAATAAAATAATGATAATTACATTACGAGAAAAAAGTCACAAAATTACATAATTGCACAATATTAAAGTCATAAGAATATTACAAGAACAAATCCAATGTTCAGTCTGGTCATCTGGACGGTTCCTTTTTTTTTTGTTGAGACGTTTCACCCTCCATCCGAAGGCCTTCATCAATCTGAGGAGTCACATACAAATTGTTTTCCCACCAAGCAGTACACTCCTACAGTGGACCAACCAGGATGCTCATGATAAGATGGTTTCTGGGGGGCTCCTTTTCCCTGTCAACTCCTCCCAGGCAACCACAGCCAAAGTGGTTCAAGACATCAAAGTTCATGCTCAATAATCCAGATTACAAGAATAAAGTTGTAGTATTACCAGAATAAAGTTGTAATATTATACGAATAAATTTGTAATATTACCAGAATAAATGTGTAATATTATCAGAATAAAATCGAAATATTATGTGAATAAAGTTGTAGTATTACCAGAATAAAAATAAATTTGTAATCAGAACTCCAACATGAAAGTCTTAACTGTGGTAAATCATTCAACCTTTATTTATACAGGTAAATCCCATTGAGCCTCGAGGACTCATTTACAAGAGAGACCTGATTTCAACAAAGAAAGATTACAACAATGGACAACAGCAACAACAATAAACAGTTATAAAAAAAGCATACTACAGTTTTTTTTGTTTTTTTTTTAAATGATGAATGTTGAGCATCTTGGTAAATTATACTTTGGTATTGGTTTTACAAATAAGGAAATACAAATACTCAATTTGTTAGGACATCAGCATCAGATTATTATTAGCATCAGGACTTTGAAACGACTGTGTCTGTTTCGAAGAAAGTAGCTCACTGAAGAGATTGATTCTTTTGTGGCAGAGAAACTTTCTGGCAGTGGTCTATAGGTAGTTTCATCTGCAGTCTTACGTTTAAAAACGAGTTTATTCTCATAATATTTTGTCTTTATTCTCGTATGACTATATTCTTGTAAATTACAACTTCATTCTCACAATACTACAAACTTATGCTCGTAATATTATGATTTTATTGTCATACGACTTTATTCTCGTGATACTGTGACTTTTTTCTAGTAATTTCATGACTTTTTTCTCGTAATGTAATTTTTTTCTTATAGCGTGGCCATAATACTCCATCGTACATGTGGTACATGAGGTGGAATTACATTTTTTATTTAAGGTCCCAGTTACACCCAAAAATAGACAAAAATATAAAGTGTAAAAAGAAACAGTATATAAAGATCTAAGATCCTAACTAAGCTATACGCTAAACAAATGCTAAACCTACACTTAAAGCTATCATTAATGACATTCCTAGTCAAAAAATGATTCTTTATACTATTTAAAAAGTCTGACATGACTAGCCTTGTTGAAAAAATTATATGCCAATGTTCCCACAACTATGTAAAGAAAAATTGTTTAAGATCTTTAAAAAAATGTGTGGCCATTTTATCATTTGATACAACAAGTTTTGCGGTCATTGATAATTTTGTTTTTTCCTAATTAAAAACAAATTTTTATTTATCCACTAGGCCATTATTTCATATTCAAAATCAACATTTCATATATCTTTAAATGCAAAGTAAATTAAATGTACTCACATTACTTTAATAGAATGCAACAGCTGAAATGGAACAAAATAGCTGAATGGAGTAGCTGGATTTTTTATTTTAGCTGAGTGAAAAAGAAACATGCAATGTCTGCTCTGAGGAAGCAGGCCCGAACGTGACGTCACTGTATCCGCGTTTAGTAGCAATGCATTACTTCGCCTGAAGGGGGCAGCAAGACACCGCGTCAGCAAACTCTCTACTACATTAACAAAGGTGAAGAAGACGATCCAGGAAAACCGTAGAAGAAGAGAGAAATATTTTGGTTTCGTGCTCTGTTTTGCAAAATCTCTGCAAACACGTTTTATTCCAATTTAAACCTTGATTTAAAAAAAAAAAAAAGTATTGTTGCTCCTCAGATCGAAGAAGTCCTTTGAATGAAGGACGAAACGTTTCCGCTTAAAAAAGAAACCGTCCAGATGACCTGACTGAACATTGTTGGATTTTTATACCTGGATTATTATTGAGCATGAACTTTGGTATTTTTCTTAAAGTTTCTTTAATAAACCGCCGAAACATCGGTGGCTTTAGTTTTTAACTGTACAGACTGCTCAGTGTTAGGCAGATCATTGTAGTTACTGTGTATTAAGAGACGCAAAAGTCACGAACGCGTTTTGTTGTTTAATGTAAGTGAACTGACAATAAAAAGGCAGCTAGACATGACGGGAATGGCCTCTCCAGAGAAGGCATCCAGCTCCAAGAAGAAGAGCGAAAGAAAATGTGCCACTAAAGAAGAATACAGGCAGCTGTCCAGCATCATGGGAGCCATGAATAACCTGAGAAAACAGGTATGTCTCCGTGTGTGAATGATGGAGGTTAAAAAGTGGAGAAAGCTGTAAAGCCTCTGTATGCCTCATGAAATCCAAGTTTATGTTGTTTTTCTGCAGAGAACACTTTGTGATGTGACCCTTGTGGTTCAGGGGAAACACTTTCCTGCCCACAGAGTCGTGCTCGCTTCTGCCAGCCACTTCTTCAGCCTCATGTTCACCAGTAAGCATCAAATTACACAAACATGCAAATGCTCATAGGTTAGTAATATTAGCTGCTTTTATTAGAATAATAAACCAACGACTGACAGCCTTAAAATCAATGACTGATAGGTAAAGTAAACCATCCATCAAATTCATCTAATCTAAGACTAAGGGGAAAAATATCTCTAAAACACATATTTTACTATATTATAAAGATTTTTTGCTTAAATTGCAAGAAAAAATCTTATTAATCTACGAAAGTTAGAGTTTGTTACACATAATTAATGCCCTCAGTAGACAACACAGATTAAAGATTTTGCTTTGGTGAAATTGTTCATTTCTGCTGCTGTGTCTTTAATATACTTTGGTGTGTTTGTGTCTGTTTTTTTTTCCCGCATATTCAGCCAGAATGATGGAATCAATGGCCCATGAGGTGGAGCTCAGAAGTGCTGAACCGGATATTATCGAACTATTGATTGAATTTATTTATACAGCTAGGTATAATTCTTACTACAAAATAATATAATGACAAACTACTGTGTTTGGTATGATACAAGACAGATGTGTTTTTAAAAGGTTTATTTCATGGAGCATGTGTTTTCTTTAGCCTGTGTGTTTTTCCATGAGAAATAAGGTGAATTTTCTGTGTTTGTGCCAGAATCTCAGTAAACAGTAGTAACGTTCAGTCGTTGCTGGATGCAGCCAACCAGTATCAAATAGAACCAGTGAAGAAGATGTGCGTCGAGTTCCTGAAAGGACAGATTGATGCAACAAACTGTTTGGGTAACTAGATAAAATACAAATACATGTCTAATAAATGCCTAATTAGTTGTAATTGCTGACCTGTTTTCTGTACTCCTGCAGGTATTTCAGCCCTTGCAGACTGTATGGACTGTCCGGAGCTGAAGGCAGCTGCTGAGGACTTTTTCCAGCTGCATTTCACAGAAGTCTACAAACTGGATGAATTTCTGCAACTTGATGTCTCACAGCTAACTTATTTACTGCACCAGGACAAACTAACTGTCCGTGCCGAGGCCCAGGTTCACTAGTTTGCCTTTATTTTATAATGCGGCAGAAACAGTCCCTAACAGTTTTTGGGAACTTGAATGTACCAGTTAATAATGAGTAACTACCACTTTGTAAATCTTTTTGGTTTTTGTCCAAACTGAGTGGAATTTATCAGCAAAGAAACTTTTTGGAGAAGAAAAAAAACTGTGTCCTGTAACGTGTTTTCTGTATGTTTGTTGTTTTACTTGTCTTCAGATTTATGATGCTGCAGTGCGCTGGCTGAAGTACGATGTGTGCAACAGAAACCAGTACATGGTGGAGGTGTTGGGGTGCGTTCGCTTCCCTCTGGTCTCCAAAACGTTCCTCTCGAAGACTGTACAGGCTGAGCCCCTCATTCAGGACAACCCACAGTGCCTCAAGATGGTCATCAGTGAGTAAAGATTGAAATGTGCTTGAGATTTAAAAAAAAAAAAAGCCATCATTGTAATTCCCAAGAACAAGTTGGATTTAAACACTGCAGGGATGCAAAGCTTAATTGTGCTGACTTGAACAACCAACGCAAAACAGAAATACTTGAAACTTTTCTTCATTTGAAATAGTTGGACAGGATAATTTAGTATGTTACATATTTAATAATTAATTTTAATGATTGATTTGATTAATTGATTACTGATTACTGTGTGACTATGAATGAACGAGGATGCATGTTTTTAGATGAATTAAGTTGGAGTGCATGATGGATTAACACTACTAGATGGTGCATTTGCATTGATAAACTTTTGATTTTAATAGCAGCATTAGATTGATTTTGAGTTTCTATGAACTGATGTTTACCCACAGCTGTCCTGCATTACGTGCCATAACGAGGAACCAAGGAACAGGACTTGGTTTAGATTATTACACATAAAGATTAAATAGACCATGCAACAGAGGTTTTAGACTACAGATTCTACGGGGGGGGGGGGGGGGGGTACTTAGGGTTTTTCCACTTATGACATTTAGACATCATTATTGATAGAGTGATTAAATTGAGGGGTTGGATGCATGGGTAAATAGATTTACTGTTAACATGGTGGTATGTTTTTATATCAGGCCACCAGGGGGAGTTGAGAGGTTCTGTTATTTACACACAGCACACAAACACTTAGAATAATGTTTATATCAGTTTATATGTTTACACACATTTCTGCTGTGACAGCCTAAAAGACCGGCAGCTCTTGGTGCCAATAAATTAGGAAGCAATTAAGTATTGCGTGATTGGAAGGAAAGAGGCACAGAGTTTTTGCCTTTCCAGACGGACCATACCTGGGGGAGGCCCACCGTGACGAGTCAAAGAGAGAAAATCAGGGTCTACAACTGATAAACATTTAGCTTTTTGTCCAAGGTGGGATGCGTTACCACCTGCTGTCCCTGGAAGACCGAGAGGACCTGGGAGAGAGCAGCAGACCACGACGCAAAAAGCACGACTACCGCATTGCTTTGTTCGGGGGTTCCCAACCTCAGTCCTGCCGCTACTTTAACCCAAAGGTACCTGGTTGCACATAAAGAGAAATACTGGCAGCAAACAATAGTTTTTGTGTCATATAGAGTTGTGTTTATGTTTCGTATTACATTGTAACTAGAAGAAAACATTTAGTGTTTTGTTTAATGTTTTGTATTTATAAGCATTGTTGTGTGAGGTTGGGTCTATTATATTAGCCACGTGTCTATTTTCCATGCAGGACTCCAGCTGGGCGGATATTCGTTGTCCTTTTGAGAAGCGTCGAGACGCCTCCGCCATCTTCTGGGACAATGTGGTGTACATTTTGGGGGGCTCGCAGCTCTTTCCTATCAAGCGCATGGACTGCTACAATGTTCTGAAGGATAGCTGGTACTCCAAGCTGGGTCCACCAACGCCCCGCGACAGCCTGGCTGCTTGCGCTTCTCAGGGCAAGATCTATACATCCGGGGGCTCAGAAGTTGGTGAGCAGAAAGATGCGGGAGAAAGGAATTTGGGTCGTAGGAAAAAGCTGCAGACGATAAAATGCCTAAACATTGTGCATGTGTCTACAGGTAGCTCTGCCTTGGACCTTTTTGAATGCTATGACACAAGGACAGAGTCGTGGCAGGTCAAAACCAGCATGCTGATGGCTCGCTGCAGTCACGGCTCGGTGGAGGCCAACGGGCTCATTTATGTTTGTGGAGGGACTGTTGGAAATCATGTCTCTGGGAGGATCCTTGGCAACTGCGAGGTGTACGACCCCAGCACACAGCAGTGAGTCTAATAAACATACAGCTCTGAATATGTAGAAGCACATAATAATTAACCGGAGTGTAAATGTCTATTATCTGCAACCCTCTAATTGTGTCTTTCAGGTGGCGAGAGCTGTGTGGGATGAGAGAGGCCAGGAAGAACCATGGCCTGGTTGTTGTCAACAACAGGATCTATGCTGTTGGGGGACAGGGACCTTTAGGTAAATGTATCCTCGGCAGATGCAGCATTAAAAATAAAAATAAAAGACTGTACTTATATCAGGGGTCGATATAAACGGTTTCCAGTTGTCCGAGACAACTTATTTTCGTCTCGGCCAATCAGACCTCGCCTCAAGTGTCTATTTCATAGCAATTCATTTTGTGTCTCACATTGGGAACGCCCTCAGCGTTGGTGTTAGAGAAAAGTTGTTAAAACACTTCTCTTCAGAATGATGTTGGTCTTGAGAATCTTGATGGTGCAGCTTAAAGTCTTCTTACAACTTCAGTGCTTCATTAGAGAATGCTGTACTGTGTATTTGACAAAGTTAAGTCAAGTCCTCTGAACAGATTAAAAGATAATAATAAAAAAACTTATTGAAATGTTTCATCTTTTATCCAAAAGACTGTCAGTCTGAGCTGCACTAAACATAAACAGCACCTTCTCATAGTGGATCAACCAGTTTGCTGGTGACAACCAAAACTAACTGTTCACATGATAAAGGAGGACCATCAGCCTAACAACCGATTGTTAGTGCTCCGAGGGCCGCTTGTTGTTCAGAGGGCTGAGTGATGCTAGCAACAGCATTGTAAGAGGGGGACAATTGGACATGGAGGCCTCCGCCCCATTTAATGGTGGATGGTTTCTCTTCACTCTCCTATCAGAGAGAGGAGTGAAGGAGGCCATCTTAGTGAAGAGAAACCGTTCATCATTAAACAGGGGTGGAGGCCTCCGTGTTCAACACCCCCCCACCCCCTACAATGCTGTTATTGCTAGTATCATTCAGCCCCCTGTGAATAGCAAGCAGCCATCAGTGCACTACAATCCATTGTTAGGCTGCTGGTCCTCCTTTATCATGCGGAGAGCTAGTTTTGGCTGTCAGCAGCAAACTGGTTGATCCACTCTGAGAAGATGCTGTTTATAAGACTGAGTTTGTTGCAGCTCCTCAGACTGAAGAAGTCTTTTGGATAAAAGATTAAACGTTTAAACGATTTTTTTTATATCTGTCCCCAGGACCTGATTTAACTTTGTTAGATTTTTCTACCTGGATTATTGAGGAATACATCAGAATACTATACAGTGTACTTTTACTAAGGTCATGTGGACAGTCAAGTCTAAAGTTCAGTCTAAATGAGGGCCAAGATGGAGTAGAGGTAGGGCAGCAGACCTGGGACCAGAAAGTCGCGGCTCAACTCCCAGCCATTCTCACATGTCGTGGTGTCTCTGAGAAAAACACCCAATAATCCCCAATTGCTCCCTGAGCACTTACATAGCTGCCCACTGCTCCACCTGGGTGTGTCTCACGTGTGATGGGTTAAATGCAGAGAACCAGTTTCATCGTTGTATGGGAACATACAATGACAATCTCAGACTTCCCTTCCCTAAAGATTTTTTTCTGCTTTAATCCCTGTGCTGCAAGTGCCTCTCTGGCAAAGTCTGATGAAAAGAAAACCTGGATTTCCTTATGTCAACCCTTACATATTTTTCTGTTTTTTGTCTTTCTGTAGGTGGCCTGGATTCAGTGGAATATTACGACATTGCCACCAACGAGTGGCGTGCTGCCTCGTCAATGCCATGGAGGGGTGTGACAGTGAAGTGTGCTGCTGTCGGAAGTGTAATCTATGTGCTGGCTGGATTCCAGGGGGTGGGGAGGCTCGGGCATGTCCTAGAGTACCACTCTGAGACTGACAGGTTGGTATTTTCACAAAATTCTTTACACTAAACAACGTGCAGCACAACTGCATAGTGGTTAACACTGTTGCCTCACAGCAAGAAGATCCTGGGTTCAACCCCTGGTTGGATGTAGAGTATACAGAATGTGGTGAAATGATCAAACATGCATACTTTGCTTTGACACAATTCCTTTTTATTTATTTTTATTCAATAGAAATCACTCATTTAGTTAGTAACAACCTCTTTGTTTTGGGAGGTCATGTTCAGCTGGATTGTTTTTAAGTGTAGTAATGGAGTTTGTCCTACATTATTTTAAACAAATCATCTTCTTTCGGCTGTTTCCTCTTCAGGGGTCGCCAGAGCGAGTCACCCTCCTCCATCTCTGTTCTCTGCATCCTCACTCCATCTTCCATTTCCTCTCTAACTGCATCCTTCTACCAAATACACCCATGCTACCAACAAAAAAAAGTGTTGCATTGCTGATCATCTATGCAAATACACACACGTTTGATTGAACACTTAATCTGGTTTCATCACTGTATACATATATATTTTTTGTCCTCAGGTGGGTGACCTGCAGCAAAGTGCGAGCGTTTCCCGTCACCAGCTGCCTCATCAGCGTGGTCGACACGTGCGGAGTGAACGAAGACGAAGACATGGACATCATTGACTCTCAGCCACACGCTGCATCTGCCGCCTCTTCATCTGCCTCAACCGCATCGTCCTCATAGAAAATGAAGCGTTGTCTGTCATGAGTTGATATTTGTGAAATCCCCTGAACTGATTCATGAGACAGGATCTCGTTTCACTTGTGTAGTCGGTCGTGCTTAGACAGCGTGTTTTATAGCAAGTCTTTTAGTTGTTGATGTGCTTTTCAAGGTAAAGCTCTACCGTAAATGAAGTATTTAATAACAGTTCGTAAATTATTACGTGCTGTGCCTTTAAATGTATAAACACTTTGTTTTGAATTATTTTCTTTAAAGTTAAAAAAAAGCACATCAATTTTAGAATTAATTTGGACTTTATTTTTCATATAAACAAATACAAAATTAACACTTACAGTGATGTGTTAAAAGCACAACAAATACGGTAAATCATAAATTGCTTTAGGTAACAATTCATTTTTGCTTGATTTGATTAAGGACCATCACACAGGAACAATCAGGGCAACCACACTGCTGAGCAAATACAAAATGTAAACAGACTCCAAACCTCCATCAGTGCTGAAGAGCACTTAATGTAGCATTTTAGGTCTTTGACAGTCCATTTATTTTTATTAAAGCATAGCTCGATCCCATCCTTGTAGGCTTGAATATATGAAATCTACTTCCACTTATTTACAACCATCTGTAGTTTTTATATTTTTGGTGGCCCTCAACAGATAAAATAATATCATTTTGTTATTTAATTCTTTTGCTGACGTGGTTAAATAAAACCAGTGTTCAAAGATGTTGATAAAAATGTGTTTCGTAGAATCTGATTTTCAGCTTCACATGTTAACACGGTCCCATAACTTCAGACACTGTCTGGTTTGGGGGTTAAATTAGTGCAATACATTGCCTTAAAATTAAAAGGCACAAATTTCCTACTTGGTAAACAATCTTAAAGCTTTCTCTAAATATCACAGGTGTATTTTACTGGTTTACTGGTTGTTCCACTCTGAGAAGGTGCTATTTAAGAGACTGAGCTGAAAACAGCTCCTCAGACTGAGGAAGTCTCTCGGATGAGAGACGAAACGTTTCTACATTTTTTTGTTGTCGTTTTGCTTTGTTTTGGTTTTTTTTTTAATGTTCAGAGGACCAGATTTAACTTTTTTAGATCACAGGTGTAATTTCATTTTTCTCTGCCACCTCACCAATCATCATATTCTTCCTCACACATAAGAAGTGTGAACATGTTGTTCAACTCGTCTGCAGCCCAAGCCTCTCGTCCATCTCTTCCTCTCCTGCCTCGACCTCTGCCCCTTCTCTTCCTACCAGACGCCAGAGAGGAGGGATTTGCTTTGAAGCTGCAGTCCCTCACAGCATCTAGAAGGCAGGAGTAGAGTTGCCAAGATAAGGATCCTCCACGCAGTAAGGACTCTGCAGGCCTTCCCGCTTTTAGGAAACTGTGGAGGCCATGCACCAAGGTACCACTGAACAGCCTATAAAATGTAAGGAGGAAAACACTTTAATTTTTTACAGTTCGATTCAACAAAGCTTTATTGGATTCCACAATTACTGTCTGTTCTAAGTTTTAGTTGTGCGTCTTCTCAAAAGGATGAATTAGTCAAAAACTGTGTGTCTTACCCTGACAGATAGGGTTGAGGCAGTGGCATCAGCAACAGCTGATTGAGACACAGTGCACTCCACAGGCAGGACTGCCACTGGCTGAAGCTGTGAGCCACCCTAATGTCTAACCCTCGTCTCTCCCCTGGTCTCACTCGCTGCCTGTCCAATGCTGACAGTACATATTGTTCTGCAGCCCAGTTTAGTTGAGCTAAAGAAAAGAGAGGAAAAAATGTATTAGCTTTTTAAAGGTAAATCTCTGACTTTTTCCCTTGATTGACAATAAACTAGCTCAAATCCAAGTAACCAGCATGATGGTGGTGAGTAGCTCCAGGCTGGCTGTTCCAGGACACTTCTCCATAAACCATGTTAAGCACCAAAGCCTGCACCAGGGGCTGTGAGGGACGTGGTACGGCCTCTTGCGACCAGAATCCAGTCACTGCAACAGCCAGCTGCAGGTGGACAGGGACAGGAGCCAGAGCAGACTCCTTCACTGCCAAGACTTCCAACAGGACACCAAGACGCAGTGCCTCAGGGGCCTGGATACAAAGAAAAATCACACGGACAAGTTCTTAAACATAAATAAAACGAGTAAAACATAAAATATGAAATCAGACCTAACGATTCATTTACCAGCGGAAAATTCTAATTTTGTAAAACATGCCTCAATTAATTTTAAAATGAAATGCACCCAAAAATGAGATGTCCAGTAAAACAAAGAAAAAGATTATCCATCAGCTCAGCTAAGGGATTTTAGCATGAACTGTGGCTAAAAGAAGTTTGTTGATCATAGTCATCTATTGATTTAAAAAAATATACCAGTGGATATTTTTACCTGGTTGAGTCCATCCAGGTGTATAAAGGTCCTAGGGAGTTGTGCCACCACTTGGTTTTTCTTTAAGTTTATGTCCAAACGGTCATACTCTTCAACAAAAACTGGGCTGCTCTGTGCTTGCATTGAAGCTGCGTTTTCCCTGCTCAGTGGATCATTCACTCGGTGCTGTGCAGCTGATGTGTGGCACTGACCCCTCCCTCTACAACCCCTTCCGCCTCGCTTTTCTCCACCTCCCGTTCCTTGGACTTGTGTTCTGTTCGCTACGTGTGCGCCTCCACCTCTTTGAGCATTCTGTAGTAATAGCCCATAAATAGCCTGACGTATGGGTGTAGAACTAAAGTGGCTGCTGGGTAGTTTACTATTCTCCACCTGTGGGATGAGAAGAACCCTCTGCATGACCAAGGCATTAACAACCAGGGAAGCCAGCTGCCCCTGCGCTTCAGCCAAAGACAAGCATTCTGGCAGCTCTGCCAGACCAGATGTTTTCCCTCTTGTAGCTACTCTACCTCCAGAAAACCAGTGAGCGAGAGAACTTGGAGTTCCTATTTGGTACTCTTGCATGGCAGCCCACAGCTGGGAGCTAAGCCCACTCTTAGGTCCTCGCTTGCCTCTCCCACCATCCCCATCTATCAGCCCGCTGACTTCCTGCAGGGCCTCTGCCACATTTGAGAAAGAGGACAACCAAAGGAGGAGGATATTGATACGGGTAGAAGATGCTGTGCCTTTACCTCTGCCACCTCCTCTTCCTAATGCACCCATATCTATCAGAGCCAGGAGTGTGTCAGTCTCCTTTGGAGCACTATAGTCATTACCAAGGAGGACAGCACATAAAGGTATCAAGTCACAATTCATGCCCCCAAACCAGCTACACAGATTTTTAGTGTTGTACAATCGAGCTGAGATGTAGCGCTGTGATACTTTTCCATTTAAGTTGGTCCATTGGAAAAAACGGATAGGCAGACAACCACCTAGGATAAGACAACAAAGAGCATATGTTAAAAAAACTCACTACTTGTTATTAAAAAGGGCTTTCTGAATCCTGAGAACAGTTCAACACTCGTCATACCTGGAAGGTCAAAAACATAAAAGTCACTGTCATTTGTCAGCACTGGGCACTTCCACTGATGTGCCAAACATGCAATTTCCCAGTCTGCCTCAGCTTTGCATTGGACCAGTGGGACTCCTCTCTGAATGAGGACCTGAATGAAGACATCTCTTGCGAGGATTGGAAGGATGGAGCCATTGTAGCCACGCGAGATCTTGTCTGCCTCCTTTATCTTAGACTGCAGGCGCTGGCGCAGAGTTGGAAACTTCTTCTCACTGGGGTCTATCCCTTAAAATCATCATCAAATTAGGGCAGAAATTAAATGTTGGTGTACAATATTCATTTGATCAAATAACAACAAAAATCTGACTGATATTAGGTGTAGATTACATAGCGCAGTCAGACTTTATTCTTACAATATTATCTAGTGTATATACAAATATATACTTGAAAATTAACATCATTTTAAAGAATGGTTTGCTTTTTATTTCAAAGCACCCATACCTCCATCCAGCACCACATAGGGCTGGATGTTACAGGCTGCCAAAGCAGAGAAGAACTGGGTGAGCAGGGAAGCGAATGCATCATAGTCTCCTCCATGCTGCTGATCCAAACCGTGGTTAAAGTAGAGACGAAAGTAAAGACTGCAGCCATCAATAACCAGGGGACTGTCCCTGAACCTCACATCTGGAAGAAAGCTTCTGTTCCCTTCAACAAATGTTGTTAACCCCTGCACACCCATGACATCTCAGACCCTGCAAACATGGTGAAAAAAACATGTGATTTTAACTCACAGTAGTGCTGACGCTAAATTTACGATGTTTCGACATGATAAACAAGGATAAACAACAAATGAGTTAGTTACATTACTGTACAATTGCGAATGTCACGTCCAAGAAATATACGTTTGGGACTGTGTCAATTTATGCATAGGCACTGCAGAAACTTAGTTAATGGTAACTATTTTTAACAAACTAAGTTAAAACATATGATCGAGTTGTTAGGAAAAGCAAGTGAGTACAGACCAACGAACATCACATTGGTTGTTTTTACAAAGTGCGCAGCTACTTCCTTGATGAATTACATTTCAAAATAAAAGTTTGACTTTATGGTAAAACCGTTCATTTTGTTGTAAAATGGTCATTGTTATTTTTATTTGATCAAAAAGTTATATTAAAATAACATACTCAAAAATCAAGCTAAAGTTTTAAAAACAAAATACTAATAAAAATGCCCAAACTTGTACTTTGAAATGGCGTTTGAATCTCGCGAGAGAGCACGAGAACGAAGTCGCTAGCGACCGCGCTAGCCAGATTTGTTCTTCGCATTTTGAAATTACTATCGTTTCTGGACAACAATGTCCGGCGGAGCAAACTTCGGGTTTCCAGGTTCAAGCCAAGCCAGCTTGGGGACATTTGCGCACCGGAAAAAAGATAGCAGCCCGTCTGCTAGGTTCTGGGAGAGTCTCGACACTTTAGCACAGCTGGAGCTTGTGCGACAGTGGCTCGGGAAGCATTACAAAAAGGTAGCAGAAACCGCTAGCTGCGACTTGCTAGGAAGCTGGCTCATGATGCGGCTAGTGCCAAATCGTGTTCAAGACAGCTGAGACGGTCACCTTAGTTCAAAAGATTTATTTGACAAAGGGTTACAAGTATTCAGAGAACATATAATCAAAAGAACGATGTATGCATACAGGAGCATTTACCGAACCAACCTGACCAGATGAGTTCTCCCAAGCAATGCTCTCGCCCCATCTGTTGTTTCTGGTTTTTATCAAAGTTTGAGAAGGCTAGTTTTCTGATTGGTTTAGACCCTAGGTTGTTATGGATACGGTGCTCTTCTGTTCTGTCAAGGACATTAATGTCCACATTCCACAGATAAGAAGTTTTATGGCTCACTGAAATCGGTTCTTTGTTTGGTTCTGTTTGTTTCAAGTTAACTTGATTATACCTTATTGATACCAAATGATTTGTGTTAAAATTGTTTCTTTCTAGGAATAATTAATAACTATTAATTATTAACTAACTCATGTTTATGTGTTCTTAATTGATAAATCATATTATAATTGTGTTTCAGTTCAGTTGAAGCCACCCTGCCCCCATCTTGCTTAGTCTAACATTTGGTAATATTCTCTTGTAATTTACTGTGAAGATTAAACCTGTGTCATCTCATCTAAACTGAAACCTGTGTCAAACAATGATTAAAACGATTAAATGTTAATTGTTATTAACATAAGGACCTGAGGGTTTTAGGTATTCTACCTGTACTCTATCATACAAATGTTTACTCAGTTAACAGAAAGAAGACTCCTCTCTCCTGTGTAGTCAGTATCTTACCTGCTCCCTGGCTTGTTGTGATTAGCTTGTAATTATATCAAAATGTAAATTTATTAAGATTGTCTCTAGCTAGTGTAAGATTATATATAAAGTAGATACTCCTGCAAAGTAATTGATTAACATTTAAATGATTTTAGGGCTATAAGTGTAGTGAAACCCTTTAAAAAACGACACGTGCACACATTGTATAACATGACATTTCAAGCTTGACAAAAAATAATAAAAGATAAAACATGAAATCCAACACTCACTGTAAACAAATCTGTTATGCTGGACAGCTGGACACCAGTAGCACCGATTTGTCTGGTGAAACTAAACACCCGTACCAATTTAATGTTAAATGTAAAATACAGTGGCGCAACGGGTCGGTCAATGTTGCTGTTAATGCATCTGCTATAAATAAAAGTGGATGAAAGAAACAAACTAATTAAAATGTGTTCTCCTTTCAAAAATGTGTGTCTGTCAGTATGTGTTGGTGGATGCCCCATCTTGCCAGGCTCTTGCTTCACTCGCCTTGCAGCTTCTTCAGTTTCAAGAAGATGCCTTTGGGAGACAAGCTACTAATCCTGCACTTACAAAATTACCGGTGAGTTTTATTTATTATAATTGTTGTTACATTTAACTTTAGCCTTTTGGAAGAATTGGTCCTTTAGCTAATGCAGTATTTAAGTCTAGTGTGGCATGTTGCAGTTGTTTTTAATATATCAACACTTTGAACTTTTTGATATTACTACCATATTTTGTATGTTAATATAAAATCATGTTTAGCTAAACAAAATATTTTTTGGTTACTTATCTTCAGGCGCACTGCTTTATGGACTTGAGGCCAGGTGGTGGACTCTGTCACATTCTTGGGACTACTTACAAGTTTAAGGTTGAGCAGGGCTGGTAGGTACCAAGCATCCTGTATCTCTGCTATTTTGTGGCAGTCACCCTCAGATCTATACCACTCATTTTTGGTTTATTGGCTTTTTATTCTGCTTTTTTCTACATGCAGGCGAAGGTTTGACTTGCAGAATCCATCAAGAGCTGAGAGGAATGTGGAGATGTTTGGTGAAATTGATAAAGCTCTACTCCAGGTTTCAAAAACACACATTCAAATCAACCCATGCACTCAAATTGAGGAGATTTTCTTAACCAGTCTGGACTTTTTTATTTTAACAGAACAATTGCATGTCAATGCCTGTGGTATACCTTGACCCTACTGTTGATCCAGAGCTGTTCAGCAGATTAAGTGGTATCATCATCAAACACAAGGTAAACTGCTACAAATGGCAAAGATAAATAAATCAATGAAACAGTTCATAGATTTGAAAGAGTTTTTTTTTCTTACTTGAATGTACAGCAGTGAGGATGTCTTTGTAGGATATAGCTCTGATTCTTTAGCGCCGTGTGTGTCGTCAAGTTAAAGTCTTGTTCTCCTTAGGGTGCCGTCACTGAGGACAGAACAGTTGCCAGTCATCATGTCTATGTCTCACATGCTTCTCCAGCAGAAGGTTAGTTTTATATATATATATATATATATATATATAGATATAGATATGTATGTGTGTGTGTGTGTGTGTGTTTACTAACATTATTCTATCAAACACTAAATTGTTCTAATCACACACTTACTTTCAGATGAGTGGATGCGCCCTGTTATGCGAAAAGACAAGCATGTCCTGGTCCATTGGGGTATGCACCCTGACAGGTAATGCAAGAAAAAGCACACACGCAATTGACTTCATGGTGCCTCATGAATAAACTGTATAAAAGTGCTACAATTGTTAGTTCGTGTGCACGCTAGAAGTAAAATAATGTCGTATAAATGTACAGATTGTCTGGCAAACCTTTAGTGCTGCCAAGTTAGGTCTGTGATTCACAAATTGAACCAGCACAACCATGTTATTCCTAAAAAGAACAAAAGTTACAGAAAAATGCACAAAACTTGAAGAACTGACCAACAATTTTTTTCTTTTCTCGTGTTTTTAACCAGTTATGACAGTTGGCTGTCCTCGAGTGATGTTGATGGAGAGGTTGAAGAGTTGCCACACACAGAAAGACCATGGAGGGTTAGTATGGCATTCTTAAAGTGAAATCCACAACTTAAAAAAACTTTTTTTTTTAACTTTACATTGTAAGTTTTAGGTTAAGAATATTTCAAATATACATTTTGATTTGCTTGCCAGGATTATCTGCCATAAGTAATTTTTATGTGTAATATTTATTTTTTTGGTTACTGACTGAATTTAAGTAAAGAGCAGAAATGCTGTTTTAGAAGATATAAACCAGATTTGATATTTAAAGAAGAATTTGACATTAATGTTAATTGTTCATTTATGCTGACTGACATTTGGTTTATGCTGTGCAGTCATTGTTGTTCCTAAACACCACTAACCCAAAACTCCTGTTCACGTTTATATGTTTGTGTGCTGCAGGTTCATGCTGGTTGGATTGTAGACACAGACGTCTTCAATGAGTGGATGAACGAGGAAGACTATTGTGTGAATGAGAGAAACATGTCGATTATCCTCCGCCGACGAATTCAGCTCCGTGAAGAACAGGTTTGTGTGAAACTACGGGGGCTCGTTGGGCTCACACAGGCAAAACAAATATTTTTGCGCAAATAAAGTAACTTGGAAAACGTTAAAGGAATTTGAAGACCTATTATTTGCAATTGTTTTAGCATTTTTTTAAATTTTTTATATTTGATTCATATTCCACAAAAGATATATATTTTTAAAGTGATAGTTTTTTTGTGTTCTCATAGTTTTATTAATAGTTGCTTGTTTTAAATACCAAGCTTTCCCATGTTATACAAAGTTGCACTTTATTTTTTTTTCCATTTACTTAAAACTTTTGTTGTAGGACTTAAGATCTATACCTGCCAAAAAACGAAGACTCGCACCCTCTCCCTCCACTGAAGGCAGGAAGAAAGGAAAGAAGGGGTAAGGTGATATTGTTTCTTCCAAAGGGGGTTAATGGTTATAGTTTATAATTTCAATGCAAGGCTTCGGAAATGTGTGGAGTTGTTCAGACCCGCTGTTTTAAACAATTATTATATGACAGGTCTGAACTCCCTCAGTGCGCATTGAAAACATTTTCCCTTATTCCACCTTCATAGGTGGCACGGACCCCTTGTATCCACATGTTGGATAGTCTGAACACAATCCATCCTGATCCTTGTCAATGTACGACCTCTTGAACAGAAGTGACCCCACACAAGCAGCAGAGTGCTTCTATTAGGAGGAGGTGAAGTTTGCCTGACTGCTGACTGATTAAAGATAAACAGCAATCCTTGAGAAAATTATAAAGCTGCAGCTATTTTTTTATTTTTATTTTTGCTAACACTTTTAATGAACTCCTTATCATAATCCTTCTCAGTAAAAGTGTCATTTTTTAATTAAAGTGGATTACAGGCTGTTGTATGGGTGAGTTTCTCTTGGGTTTACTGTTTGTTCGGATTGATTTTGGACCTGCTGTGAGTTATAATGTGCCAATAAATAAAAAATAAATCAGAGGACAACAGTCTGAGCAGCGTTACGTTGCATCATATTCACCTGATTTAGCACAGCACTGATACTACGGTCACAGTAAAGCTGTGCAGGGAACAACTAATGGTTGTCAGTGCACTGTGGATATTTACAGGTTTAAATTAATCTTTACATCGACACCAAGCTCTGGGAAGTCACTAATCATTGCATACGTGCATTAATTTCACTTATTGCGTTTGCTGGGTAATAAAGCTCATCAAGAGATCGCTACAAAACTGTGACTCAGATGGTTCTGATCCATCAAACTAGACATTTTAATGTTTTGGCGGTTGTACAGAAACATGAGCAGACCTGCTGATGTCCTGTTTGTTGCTCACACTTACGCTCTGGGACATGGCTGAGTGTCTAGTGCAGGTAATTGAAGTCCAGTTGTAAAACGTTTTGGGATACATATTTTACCACTAAATGTAAACAGAGGTGTCAGAAAAGGGGTTGTAAGCTCATTCATCCAGGTAGATAATAAAAATGGTTAAATCTTGTCATCTGGACCAGTTTCTTTAAGTGAGAAACGTTTCGTCCACCATCCAGAGGACTTCTCAGCTACGGCCTGCCATACAGATCTGTCCCATAGGTAGTCTCCACTGCTGTGTCTGAGCTTACCATGAGCAGTCAAATCACCCAAAACTGTTTCAAAACAGCAAATCTGAACAGCCTTTATGTGTTTGTGCTCACACAGGAGAAGGCATGGGCATCAGGATGAAGAACCAGAAGAGGACCTAACCAAGGACATGGAGGATCCTACGCCTGTGCCTAACATGGAGGAAGTCGTACTGCCCAAGAATGGTAAAATGCTCATTGTTCGCATCCAACTAACAAGATATACAAGTTGTAAGCTAATGTACTCATAAATTGTATTGTCTTCTTCCTATTGGGTAGTGAACCTAAAGAAAGACAGTGAAAATACTCCAGTAAAAGGAGGGATCATGGCTGACCTCGGTAAGTTTGCATTTGTGAATGTTTCTGGAGGACTTTTGAACACAACTTATTAACTTACTTTTTGGTTTGCTGTCAGATGATCAGGAAGATGACTTTCCAGGAAGGGTAAATAAATACAGTTTTTACAGTTTTTATGTTTCAAACTGATCAACTGAAGATGCATCATCAGTATATTTTGTTAGGATGATGTAAAAGTGTTATTAATGTTGGTTTGTTTGCGTGTCCAGGAAGATGACGAGGGTCGAGGAGAGAGCTCACGCCTGTCAGAGGGAGAGGACAGCATCACAGAGCAAACTCACCACATTATAATACCAAGTTACACATCGTGGTTCAATTACAACAGGTGAGCTTTTTTATTTACACTGACTTATTTCTTTGTTTATAAATTCATCGTATTTTAGTCTACTTCGATTAAAAAAAAAAATCATCTTCCTTCATTCATCCAGCATTCACTCAATAGAGAAACGTGCTTTGCCTGAATTCTTCACTGGGAAGAACAAATCAAAATCTCCAGAGATGTGAGTACTTCTAATGCTCAGACGTCTCCATACACATAGTAAATTAAAATAGCCTCGGTGTGATTTTCCCTTTTCATCACAGCTACCTGGCATATCGTAACTTCATGATCGACACGTACCGGCTCAACCCGCAGGAATATCTCAGCTCAACGTCCTGCAGGCGCAACCTCACAGGCGACGTCTGCGCTCTCATAAGGTAGGTTTTGTTTGCAAGTTCATTATCCTGTCCTTGCAGTGTCCATGTAAAGAAAAACATGTTTTTGTGTCCAGGGTTCATTCATTTTTGGAGCAATGGGGTTTAATCAACTACCAAGTGGATGCAGAGAGTAGACCCCTTCCTATGGGGCCTCCCCCCACGCCTCATTTCAATGTGCTGGCTGACACTCCATCTGGGCTGGCTCCCTTACAGCACAAACCCCTACAGGTTTGTGTTCGTGTCGCACACAGTTCACATCAGCAAATTAGCTCAGGTTTAAATAAAATGAAAATCAAATCCTGTTTTATTTATGAACTTTGTTCTCAAACTTTGTGCAGGTGTCCGCCTCTCAGCACATGTTGTATTTCCCAGAGAAAAGCAGAGAGAAACCTTCAGACTGCCAAAACTTTGGTCTGCGCACTGACGTTTACGCCAGGAAACACCCAAAGGTCTCACACATTACAGTACACTGCATAAAACACGCAGCTTTGCCCAAATGTGATATAATGAATAATGCAGTTCTTTACTAAATTAAAGACTGCATATACTTCAGTTGCATTGTGCCTGTAAAAGTCTGTGAATCAGTACAGATCAGGTTATCTTCCCATCCCTTGTGCAGAAAGGGATATAACGCATATATAACTGCCCAACGCATCACTGGCACTTGGTTTTGGATGTAACTGGGACCTTGTGTACCGGTACATAATTTAGTTCCACCTCATGTACCACATGTGATGGAAATGACAACACGATTGACCTTGCCCACAATTGAGTGCATTTACCGCAAGCGTTGCCTGGGTACAGCGAGGAACTTCATCAAGGACGTTTCTCATCCTAACTGGACTTTTCAATCTCCTATCATCTGATAGGATGTAGGAGTTACAGGAGCCTCCGCAGCTGCAGCAACAGACTCAGAAGGAGCTTCTTTCCTGAGGCTGTAACTTTATTGAACTCATCACAGTCACTTTAAATACACACAGTACTTTGCTCCTAATGTTGCAATATTCATCATATCTGTATATTTGCACAGTCTAACACTGCACTATTTATACTTTCAATATGTACATACTTTATATATATACCCATTATATATATATTATATTACTTTCTTCTGTCATAATCTACATATTTCATTTCATTCACCGTGTATATACTGGGTATATACATACATCTATAAACATATATATGCTTATTCTCATTCAACATTTATACTATTTATAATAACTCTACTGGCCTGTGGCCTCTGTTGCTTGTAATGTTCACACTTGTAAGCATTTTTCTCCATACTCATTCCTTGTACTTTGTAAATCATTGGTAGTAATACTGTATTTTGCAGTGCTGGTTAGATGCTAACTGCATTTCATTGACTCTGTGCCTGCATTCTGCACAATGACAATAAAGTTGAATCTAATCTAATAAACTTGGATTTTAATCACAAATTAATCTTATAACTGCAAATGCCACTGTCTAAACACATCTTAAAGTTAGACATTTGTATTTGTTTATTTACCATTTACTCTCTTTTAATGGTATATTACATTTCTGTGATTTCTGAATTCTAGAATTGCGCCGCTCAAGGTGGCTGCATGTTGGAGCAGCTCTGTTACTTTCATTCTGAGATTTTGCTTTTGGAAACTTTAATTCCTCTTTTTCTGGATGCAAATCACATTTTTTTGGATGATTGTTTCCTCTGGTATCAGATGCTGTGCAGCTCGAAGGATTTTTACTAAAACATTTTTAGTTTGGGACATTTGTTATGATGCGTAACCATGGCAACAGGGCAGTTTTCTACAACCAACAGCAGCTGAATAACATCTCAAAAGCTCGAATAATATCACAACTACAGCCACAAATCTCAAATGAGTTGAAAAGGATGTTCTGTGGACGCATTCTCATCTACCTGCCAGCTGTGCTCGAGTGCCTGACCACTGAGATCCTGGAACTAGCAGGAAACACGGCTCATGACAGTGGAAGGACAGGATCGTCCCTCTGCACCTACAGTTGGCTGTCCACAGCGACTAGGAGCTCGGCAGACTGCTGGGAGGAGAGGCCATCGCTCTGGGATGAGTTCTGCCTGGCATTCAGCCGGTCCTACAGCCCGGGGGAACCGAGAGGCCAGCTGAGTCTGGGTGGACAGATTGGACGGCATCTGCAGCCAGTTTCTTAGGATCCACTGTGGGATGGACCTTTACAAGAGATCCTTCCTGTCTACAGCCATCAGTATCTATAACATCTCGTAATGAAATGAGGATAACGAGTTACAACAACAAAATAATTTCTCTTTGGGATTAATAAAGTATTTTTGAATTGAATTGAATTGAATTTCTTGAAACTATCTAAAACTATTGTGATGCCATTTTCACAGACAAAAGGAGCAAATGCAGGACGAGAATGGACAGAGCAGGAGACACTTTTACTATTAGAGGTGAGGCGATGGCACATGTTTTTTTATTTCTGTGATAGAACTCATGCTGTTTCTCTTACAAGACATTTGAGCTCTTTTATATAATTTCTGAAGTTTGCAGCCTGTTTTCAGCTTTTGTTGTAGCTTTGATTTTATTCTTTGTCTCCGCTCAGGCATTAGAGGTCTACAGAGATGACTGGAATAAAGTATCGGAGCACGTTGGCTCCAGAACACAAGACGAATGTATCCTTCACTTCTTGCGTCTGCCGATAGAAGACCCTTACCTGGAGGACTCGTCAGCCTCTCTGGGGCCGCTGGCGTATCAGCCTGTGCCTTTCAGCCATTCAGAAAACCCCGTGATGAGCACTGTGGCCTTCCTGGCATCTGTGGTGGATCCACGAGTGGCATCAGCTGCAGCTAAGGCCGCACTGGGTGAGAGGGCAGAACCTCTGACGTGATGTATGGTAAAATAAATATAGTGTTGTGACTCTTTTTGTTTTGGATTTTTTTTTCCAGAGGATTTCTCCAAAGTGCAGGAGGAATCATTGGATAAACTGTCTGAAGCATCCAACCAGTTAGAAAAAACAGGCAAGACTGAAAAACAAACGCATAACGACTTAAAATTTTGTTCCTCGCACAACCTGTGATAATGTTGTTGTTTTTTTTTTTTCTTTGACCTATAGATGTGATGGAAGCAGAAAATCTGGACTCCCATCAGGTAGGACGAAGATAAGACCTTTAGAAAAAGCACGAACAGTGTGGAGGATTTCTGTTGCTTAACGTAAGTGTCTGTTTCAGGTCCCTGTGAGGGTTGATGGGGTCAAGATGGAACCAGGCATTTCAAAAATGGAGGAAGATCTGGTTAAAAGAGAACATGTAGAAAATATGCTGGAAGAGGAAAGAGATGGTATGTGTATGTGTGTATAATATTCAAAAGTTCACAGCTTGTACGACCAGCCATGTATAATTTCTGTGTTCTAGGCGGAGCAGATGAAGATGAGAGTAGACAAGATGGAGAAGGGGATGATGGGAGTAGAGTGATGGAGATGGATCTGGTGGAGGCCAGCGTTTCCACAGCAGCAGCATCCGCTCTGGCCTCTGCTGCCTCAAAGGCAAAGGTAGAACCATCCACACCCATTTACAGCTGACAAAGCTCGTAAAAATAAAGAACAGAAAGTGTTTTTTAATTTAAGAAGAGACAGAGTCTTAGAAGCTACTCAGACACACTACTTTGCATATAGTTGATATAAAATTTGCAGATTAGAAGATATACAGGTGCTGGTCATTACATTAGAATATCATGAAAAAGTTGGTTTATTTCAGTGATTCCATTCAAAAAGTGAAACTTGTATATTATATTAATTCATTACACACAGACTGATATATTTCATATGTTTATTTCTTTTAATGCTGATGATTATAACTGACAACTAATGAAAACCTCAAATTCAGTATCTCAGAAAATTAGAATATTGTAAAAATCTAAAAAAGTTAAATCTGGTCCTCTGGACATTCAAAAAAAAAAAAAAAATTTGTAAAAACGTTTCGTCTTTCATCCGAAATACTTCTTCATTTCAGACTGAAGAAGTCTTTCGGGTGAAAGACGAAACGTTTTTACAATTTTTTTTTTTTTTTTTAATGTCCAGAGGACCAGATTTAACTTTTTTAGATTTTTCTACCTGGATTATTGAGCATGCATCAGGAATATTGTGAAAAGGTTGAATATTGAAGACACATGGTGACACACTCTAATCTGCTAATTAACTCAAAACACTTGTAAAGGCCTTTAAATGATCTCTCAGACTAGTTCTGTAGGTTACACAATCATGGGGAAGACTGCTGACTTGACAGTTGTCCAAAAGATGACCATTGACACCTTGCACAAGGAGGGCAAAACACAAAAGGTCATTGCTAAAAAGGCTGGCTGTCCAAGCACATTAATAGAGAAGTGAAGGAAAAGATGTGGTTAAAAAAAGTGTACAAGCAATAGGTAACCGTGCCCTGGAGAGGATTGTGAAACAAAACTCATTCCAAAATGTGGGGGAGATTCACAAAGAGTGGACTGCAGCTGAAGTCAGTGCTTCAAGAACCACCACGCACAGACGTATGCAAGACATGGCTTTCAGCTTGTGTCGAGCCACTCTTGAACAAGAGACAGCGGCAGAAGCGTCTCGCCTGGGACTGCTGCTGAGTGGTCCAAAGTTATGTACCTGGATTATTGAGCATGGACTTTTTTGTTTTCAACCATTTTGACACGACTGTCAACAAGGAAGAGGGCCGGCAATGGAGGAGGGGGCGTACCAAAGAGACCATCTTATCACAAACAAAACTGGTTTGTTCCACTTTGGAGTAAGCTGTTGGGGGAAGAATCAGTTTTGTTGTGTGTTTCCTTGACTGATGAAGCCTTCCGGATCCAAGGTGAAACGTTTCAGCACAAAAAAAGAAACTGTCCAGATGACCTGACTGAAAAATGTTGGATTGTATACCTGGATTATTGAGCATGGACTTTGTTGGTCCAAAGTTATATTCTATGATGAAATTAAATTTAGCATTTCCTTTAGAAATCAAAGTCCCAGAGTCTGGAGGATGAGAGGAGAGAATCCACGTTGCTTGAGGTCCAGTGTCAAGTTTCCACAGTCAGTTATGGTTAGAGGTGTCATTATCATCTGCTGGTGTTGGTCAACTGTGTTTTCTGAGGTCCAATGTCAACACAACCGTCTACCAGGAAGTTTTAGAATGCGTCATGCTTCCTGCTGCTGACCAACTTTATGAAGATGCAGATTTCATTTTCCAACAGGACTTGGCACCTGCACACAGTGCCAATGTTACCAGTACCTGGTTTAAGGACCATGGTATGTCTCCCTGTTCTTAACTGGCCAGCAAACTCACCTGACCTTAACCCCATAGAAAATCTATGGAGTATTGTGAAGAGGAAGATGTGATACACCAGACTCAATAATTCAGCAGCGCTGAAGGCCACTATCAGAGCAACCTGGGCTCTCATAACACCTGAGCAGTGCCACAGACTGATCGACTCCATACCACATCGCATTGCTGCAGTAATCCAGACAAAAGACGCCCCAACTAAGTATTGATGCTGCACATGCTCATACTTTTCATGTTCATACTTTTCATGTTCATACTTTTCAGTTGGCCAACATTTCTAAAAATCCTTTTTTTTTGGTCTTAAGTAATATTTTAATTTTCTGAGATACTGAATTTGGGGTTCATTTGTTGTCAGTTATAATCATCCATCCATCCATCCATTATCTTTACCTGCTTATTCCATTTTGGGTCACGGGGGTCGCTGGTGCCCATGTCCAGCAATCACTGTGCGAGGGGCGGGGTACACCCTGGACGGGCCGCAAGTCCATCACAGGGCCACATAGAGACAAACGAGACAAACAACCATTCACTCTCTCACTCACACCTAGGGACAATTTAGAGTTACCAATCAGCCTAACATGCATGTTTTTGGTCTGTGGGAGGAAACTGGAGCACCCGGAGAAAACCCACGCATGCACGGAGAGAACATGCAAACTCCAGTTATAATCATCAACATTAAAATAAATAAATATTTTAAATATATCAGTCTGTGTGTAATGACTGAATATAATATACAAGTTTCTCTTTTTGAATGTAATTACTGAAATAAATCAATTTTTTCATGATATTCTAATTTTATGAACAGCACCTGTATTTGGTATAAAATTTGCAGATTAGAAGATATACTTATGGGATCAGTGATTGGGATAATATACTTTCATGTGGTTTCTAACAGACCAGACCCTAAAAGATAAAAGATCAGTTGCTTATTTTGACTTTTGTCTTTAGGTGTTACAAATGTTTTCAGTTCTTCTCACTTCCACTTTAAGCTGTGTTTCCTTTAAACCTTGCCTTTGTTCCCCTGTAGCATTTAGCAGCAGTAGAAGAGAGGAAGATTAAATCCCTGGTGGCCCTGCTAGTGGAGACCCAGATGAAGAAATTAGAGATCAAACTGAGACACTTTGAAGAACTGGAGACCATCATGGACCGAGAGAAAGAAGCCGTACGTAAAAATATTGTCTTATGTAGGCCAAATAACTCTTTCACCTCTTTTAGATTTAAGTCCTTTAGAGTAAATCGTTCTTTATCTTGGAATATCTTTTTTGCCAAATTCTTTGAGAGCAGCTGTAACAAATCAAGTTTTTTGTAACAATATGTTGTGTGTGTGCTGCAGTTGGAGCAGCAGCGGCAACAACTGCTTGAAGAGAGGCAAACTTTTCACACCGAGCAGCTGAAGCAGGCAGAGATGAAGGTCCGCCAGCAGAGGGAGCAGCAGGGGCAGTCGGGTTACACAATGCAGCATTCAGGTCAGGACACTTCCAGGCACTTTGTGCACCTAAATGCACATATTAGTTATTGTGTCCTGACATTTCAGTCCTACCTTCTTCAGGTCAGACCGTGCCCAACAGGATGATGCCTGTTGGGGGTAACGCCCAAACAATAGCCCCCCGACATCCCGGAGCTCCCAATGGAATGTGTGAGTAATTTCTACTGACTTCCACATGTTTAATATACTGTTAAAGTTTTAGTCTGAGCTTGTGAGTTCTTTCTGTTCTGTCTCAGACCCGTCCTCACAGCCCGATGGGATGCCATCTGCTCAGACCGCTCCTCCACCATCCAGTCACAGCTGAACTCGCATGGAGAACAAGACGCACACAGAAAAGAAAAAGGTCTGCCTAAAGGACAGTTGTTTCACTCAAGAGTTCAGGAACAACTGCTTAAAGCTGGATTAACTCTCCAGTCATCACTTGAACATGAACACAGTTGATGTGTTTGGTTAAGAGCTGAGTTTGCCTTGAACCTGTGAATTATGCTCTGATGTCAAGAGTTGAGGATTGTGAACTTGACTCAATAAAGTTGCTTTTGTATGAATCTGAAAATTGTTTCATTGTTCCAACTCTGGACAGTGATATTCCTGCTTTTATCACTTCCTATTTGGGTTAATGCAGCATCTTGTCCAAAACACATCTCGGTCCAATTCAGTGGCTGCCACAGCTGAACCTTAGCAAAGACAAAAATGGCTAAAATCTACTGGATTGTTACTGATGTTGACCTAAAATTTGGTGCAATAGTAGCTGAGTGTCAGCCCTAACGTACTCTGAACACTTATGGATCATACAGATCTTTGTTGTAAACTTTGGCATAAAATGAGTGATACGCATTCTAGCAAAAAATGCTTGTTTCTTTTTATGAATATGAATAGGGCAAACTGGGACTATAGTCTTTAATCAGTAATCTGTAAGGGGGAAAAAAGTTAAATCTGAAGGGAATTCTTTCCCATATTGCAGCATTTTTCAATTAGCATTTATATGCCAACATAATAAAACTGGAAATGGCTTTTAGGTTTGGTGAGCCAACCCAAGTTTAATGTGAGCATGTCAGACTGGAAGGCGACAAAGATATTTTGATTTCACAGTTTCATGTAATGCTTTTCAAACTGCTGCACAGTATTTTCACACTTAAGAGAATACATTTGGTTTGTTAGCTAGCACTTCAGTTTTGCTCAGATGAAACTTTATTAAATTTGTGAGCAATTTGAAAATGAATTTTAGTTTAATGCAATCAACAAACCTGAAACAAGACATGAAGTTTAAAATATGCAAAGCTGCAAGCCATTTTTTTTTGCCATTCAAAGGAACTTATAATACATCCTCTAACTGGTTTGGGTGGATCTTTCTGAGCTTTTGCTAATGTGCAAATCAAAACTTGGCATCTGAATGTCAGAGTTTTCACTGTTCATTATTTTATGTAAGTCGCCTTTCATTTAATTTGGGTAAAAATGAGTTTTAACTCGTTTATAAAGGTAAACATGCTTTAAGAAAGTAAAAGTTTTCTCTAACTAGTGATTATATATATATGGAATGGGATTAACCTGTATAAATAAAGGTTGATTAAAAAATATGTATATATCTTTCGGCTGCTCCCTTCTTCAGAGGTCGTCACAGTGAACTAACTCACTCAAAAACTTGGCAATTGTTTTTACATCGGATGCCCTTCCTAACGTAACCACAGACCATGGAGCTACCACAGCCCTCTGTGTGGAGCAGAGAGCTGCCATGTAGAGTGCCCGGGGTAGCAGATGGTGAGAGTTAATGGCCTTGCTCAAGGGCCCAGAGTGGGGCAAATAGGGGTGGAAGCAGGTGTGGATGTTTCACCTTTCCCAGCTATATTTTTTACACTATGTAGAGGGATTTGTGGTTGGATATCTATATAATTTATTAGTTATGAGTTAAGCTCATAAGATATGCATTTATTATGCAAATAACCTTGTTAGGCGGGCACCACCTCTTGAGGAAAAATCATCAGTCTCTAACCATCAACACTGGCTCCCCTCAGGGATGTGTGCTGAGCCCTCTCCTGTTCACTCTGCTAATGCATGATTGTGCAGCTACCCATCCAGGTTGTCACATTGTAAAGTTTGCAGATGATACAGCGGTGGTGAGATGCTTCACAAACAATGAGTCCAGCTACAGGCAGAAGGTGGAACACCTGGAGAGCTGGCGCAAAGAGAATAACCTTCACATCAATGTGAAGAAGACAAAGGAGATGATCGTGGACTTCAGAAGGAACAAACACACATACACCCCACTGAACATAGGAGGATCTGTGGTGGAAGTGGTCTCCAGCTACAAGTACCTGGGTGTACACATGAATGACAACCTCAGCTGGGACAACAACACCACCAGCCTGATCAAGAAAGTTCATCAAAGACTCTACTTTCTCAGACGTCTGAGATGAGATGGTCTGGGAAGCTCAGTCCTCACCTCCTTCTACAGGTGTGCAGTGGAGAGCATCCTGTGCTCCAGCATCAACGTGTGGCATGGAGGCTGCACAGCTGCAGAAAGAAAAGCTTTGCAGAGTGGTGAAGGCTGCACAGAAGACTGTTGGAGTCAGTCTCCCCACCATCACAGACATCTACTGTACACCTCTAGATGCAGGAAGAGGGCCACCTGCATCATGAAGGACCCCAGTCACCCAGCACACACACTTTTTGCCCTGCTCCCCTCATGAAGGAGGTTAAGGAGCATTAAGTGTAGAACCACTAGACTGAGGAACAGCTTCTACCCTGAAGCTGTTAGACTCAAAAACCAATGCAGATATGTTCCTGTTTTTAGTACATCACTTTACAACCTAGCTGTTTTTTTTTAGGGGTGCCCCAATTTCCTTAATTTGGGAAAATTGGAAATCGGCCGATACTTGCATGAGAAACCGATTTTACTGATTTTTTTTAGTTTTAACAATTGTCTGAAATTCATTTATTATTTCAGAGCACTACCTCATGGCTAGTTAAAACAAGTTTGTATTATTTCTAGGATATTGTTCAAGGGTCTGTTTGTCAACAAAATAAGGTTGAAAATTGAAGGTGCATTGTGACCTTATAACAAGTGTATAAGTGTCGATTATAAAACAAAATCGGTATCGGACAAAATCGTAATCGGCAGGTCAGACTTTTTTAGAAATCGGTGATCGGCCAGAAAACTGCAATCGGTGCACCCCTAGTTTTTTTTGTTACATTTTCTTTTAAATACCATTTTATTTTCACTTGTTAAAGGAAAGAAATAAATAAATCCTCAATTTGTACGCATCTTTTATGATTGTCTATTGCGGTCTTTGTTTTCCACTGTTGTCATCACTCTTCACTAAAATCAGGTCTCTCTTGTTAATGTCCCTGAGGCTCAATGGGATTAACCCGTATAAATTAAGGTTGAATGAATGGGAATAAAAATTATACTGGGAGAGGTGAAGTCTAGGTGTGTTGATGGTGGTACTATAAGTAGTTGGAAACAAGGACTATAGAAAAACATCTTTGCCATCTATATTGTAATTGTAGGCGTTTACTCTGTCCAGAGTGAATGTTGGTTCGTGCACAGATTGTGCACTAAAAGCAGCCCTGGACATTGTGTTCCACCCCTCACTGTTCAACATGAGAACAGGATGGAAAAACTGAAGTGACCTGAGCTTTACAGGCTCAGACACACACAGAGCCTGGCAACAACAAATATGTTTTTTTTGTTGTTGTTGTTCTTTTTTTATTGTGGGTCTCAGTGAGCTCCATCTGTCTCAAGAAAATATGTCTTTTTGTTCTTTTGACGGTACATTTTGGGTTTAAAGAGAAGGAATTGATTCAGTTACTGTAGAATTTAAAGATAAAATGTGCTTGTGTGCATTTTATCGTGTCTTCGTGCGTGCATGTGTACAAGCGAGTGCGGAAGCAATTTTGTTCTGCTCTGTTTGGCAGTATGTCAGTACATTTTTTTTTTATGTTTGTTTCTTATTCCCCACCACAATACCGCTCCCCTTTTCTGCACCCATCTCCTTCCACCATCTGATCATGGCCACTTTTTTGGTCCTTCTTTCTTGCCAGTCTTCATTTTTACATCATACTGGAAAAGCAAAATCTCCTGATTTTGTTGTGTCTGAAGAACAGGGGTTAAGATTTTATTTAATTAATTTTTTTGTTTTTTGTAGGATGATTTATCAGGATGCCTGCATGATCCAGGATCATTTAATCTAGAATTAATTATTTATGAGAGAAAGTGCAATTCTTTCACTGTTACAGTTGGGGCTAATTATTTTATAAGATATCTGGCATGAACCCATTTAGGAGGAAAACTCGGCCCACTGAAGATCATTTTAGTTCGCTGTTTGAAATGAATATAAGGATTCTTTGCCGCAGAGTCCAAAATTAAATGATCTTACTGTATGTTGAGAAGCAGTTTTGATCAAACCTTAAAATAAACATTATAATCTCATTAAATTTAGCAAGATCTCATGATCAGGACAAGTGGAGTGAATAACTTTTGGCTACAATTACAAAAATTTTTAGCTCAATATTTGTAAAACTGCAAGAGTTGTAGCCTTTTTGTGTTAGCAAAGCTGGTTTGAGTGTCATGGCCATCTTGAACTTGATTAAAAGTTTATAATTTTTCTTTATTTATTTATAAATATAAATATATTTATGATGCCTTTGAATCGCCGTCCCTCAGTCTTTCTCATCCAAAATGGAAATCAGAAAAGCCACTTCTACTAGTTGTTATATATCGTCCACCAGGCACTTACTCTCAGTTTTTGTCTGAATTCTCAGAATTCTTAACTGACTTACTATTAAATACTGATCAAATCATCATAATGGGTGATTTCAATATTCATGTAGATGTTGAGAGTGATAGCTTAAGCATAGCTTTTAATAATTTAATAGACTCATTTGGTTTTACCCAAAACGTCCGCACATCTACTCATTCTTATCATCACACTCTTGATTTAGTTCTGACCTATGGTATAGAGATTAAGGACTTGGTAATAGTTCCTCAAAATCCTATTCTGTCCGACCATTTTTTAATAACCTTTGAGTTTACATTAAATGACTACACAGTCACTGAGAGTAAATTTCATCTCAGCAGGTGCTTATCAGAAAATGCTGTAACCCAATTTAAACAATCTCTTCCATCAATGTTTTCCTCTGTCTTGCAGAGTAATGCATCAGAGAACAGTGACTTAGATCATCTAGTTGATCATCTTACAACTTCAATGCAAACTTCACTTGATAAAATTGCTCCACTGAAAAAGAAAGTAATCAATCAGAGGAATCTGGCTCCTTGGTTCAATTCTGTTACAGACTTTAAAGCAGGCATCTAGAAACCAGGAAAGAAAATGGCGCTCTACTAATGTTGAAGAATTTTATTTAACTTGGAAAGATAGTCTGCTGACATATAAAAAAGCTCTCCGTAAAGCTAGAACTTTATATTACTCATCTTTAATAGAGGAGAATAAAAATAACCCTAGGTTTCTGTTTAGTACTATTGCTAGACTAATTAAAAGTCCCATTTCTGTTGAACCATGTATCCCTACAACTATAAGTAGTGATGACTTCATGAGATTCTTTATAAATAAAATTATTTCAATTAGAGAGAAAATTCAAACCATCCTTCCTTCTCCTATCTCCAGTCCCCTGTCAAATGAGGCAACTTTAAAAATTTCACTAGAGCCTGATTTATGTTTGGACAGTTTTTGTCCTGTTGAGCTCTCTGAATTGTCAAAAATAATAACCTCATCCAAACCATCCACGTGTCTGCTAGATCCCATCCCAACCAGACTATTTAAAGAGGTATTTCCCCTAATTAATGTCCACATTTTGGATCTACTTAATTTGCCTTTAATGGATGGTTATGTACCACAGAGCTTTAAGGTTGCTGTAATTAATCCTTTACTTAAGAAGTCTGATCTTGATTCAGAAATTCTGGCCAACTATAGACCTATATCTAATCTAACTTTCATCTCAAAAATTCTAGAGAAAATAGTTGCAGGTCAGTTGAGTGAATATCTACAAAGAAATAATCTGTTTGAAGAGTTTCAGTCAGGGTTTAGAGCTCATCATAGCACAGAAACAGCACTAGTAAAAGCCACTAATGATATTCTCATGGCCTCAGACAATGGACTTGTGTCTATACTGGTCCTGTTAGACCTCAGTGCTGCATTTGATACAGTTGATCACAATATTTTACTACAGAGGCTTGAATATGATATTGGGATTACAGGAACAGCTCTAAAATGGTTTAAATCATATATATCTGATAGATTCCAGTTTATAAATGTAAATAATAAATCTTCTTCATACACCAAAGTTAGTCATGGAGTTCCTCAGGGCTCAGTGCTTGGGACAATACTCTTTACTTTATATATGCTTCCATTAGGTAAAGTTATTAAACAGCATGGGATAAATTTTCATTGTTATGCTGATCACACACAATTATATTTGTCCATTAAACCCAATGAATCCAATCAGCTACTTAGACTACAAGCATGTCTTAAAGACATAAAAACCTGGATGACCCTTAATTTTCTCCTGTTGAACACAGACAAGACTGAGGTTTTGGTTTTTGGACCTGAGCACCTTAGGAATTAATTTTTCAGCCTTTCTCCCTTCTTAGATGGCATTAATCTGTCCTCCAGTTCTAATGTTAAAAATCTAGGTGTTATTTTTGATCAGGACATGTCTTTTATCCCCCACATTAAAAACGTTACTAGAACTGCCTTCTTCCACCTGCGTAATATTATTATCTGGATGTCCAAATATGTCTTTAAAACATCTTCAGTTGATCAAAAATGCTGCTGCCAGAGTCTTAACTGGAGTTAGTAGGAGAGATCATATTTCTCCAGTTTTAGTTTCTCTCCATTGGCTCCCTGTCAAATCCAGAATATAATTCAAAATCTTACTTCTAACCTACAAAGCTCTCAACAACCTGGCTCCATCTTACATTACAGACCTTATTGTTCCATATTTTCCTAACAGAGCACTTTGCACTCAGGCTGCAGGTTTACTTGTGGTTCCTAGAATTTACAAAAACAGAATGGGAGGCAGATCCTTCAGTTATCAGGCTCCTCTCTTGTGGAACCAACTTCCAGTTTCTGTCCGTGAGTCTGACACATTATTCAGTTTTACAACTAGGCTTAAGACTTTCCTTTTTGCTAAATCCTATAGTTAGGGTCGGCTTGGGTTTCCTGAGCTGTCCCTTAGTTATGCTGCTATAGGCTTAGACTGCTGGAGGACAAACTGGCCACACTTTTTCACACTGCTACTGTCTTTACTTACTCTGCTCAACCTGTTTTGTATTTGTAATTATTTTTTCTATCCTTTACATGTTTTTTTGTCTTTCAGGTACACCTGGACCTATACCTGGACCTACCATTCTGTGTTCGTCTGTCTCTCCTTCCTGTCCTCTCAACCAGCCGGTCAAAGCAGATGGCCGCTTGTCCTGAGCCTGGTTCTGCTGGAGGTTTCTTCCTTTTAAAAGGGAGTTTTTTCCTTTCCACTGTTGCCACTGTGCTTGCTCAGGATGAGATACTGCAACAAAGCCAAGATTTAACTTGTCTGCTGGATTCCTTAAATAGAGAACTTTACTAATTGTATGTTTTTTTTTTCTTTTCTTTTTTTCCATTTATCCTTTATTTATCCAGGTAGTCTCATTGAGCCACGAGAACTCATTTTCAAGAGAGACCTGTTTAGGGAGCAGATGGGGGTTAAGGGCCTTGCTCATGGGCCCAGAGTGGGGCGAATGAGGGTGGGGGCAGGTGTGGGTGCTTCACCTACCCCACCCACATTTTTTATGTTGTCAGTACCAGGGCTTGAACCGGCAATCTTTTGATCACATGCCCACCTTCTCTAACCTCTGCACCACCACTCCTCAATGTGAATGTTCCTGTAAAGTGTCCTGAGACAACTTTGTTGTGATTTGGTGCTATATAAATAAACTGAATTGAATTGAATTATTTATTCAACAATTATAATTTCATTACAAGTCATTCAGTAATTCATGAGATGTTTTGCTAACAGATGTACAGTTCCAAATAGTTGATGGCAAATCAAATTAAACACATTTAGGCCTTTAACATTGGATCATTTACAGCTTTTTTTTTATTATCTGTGGCAGCCATCTTGAATGGTGCTGATCAGTTGCTGTTGTACATTTTGTGATTAATGCCTCAGGGTTAATTAAAATCCCTCCAGTGGTACATGATGTGGGTGGGGTTGGTGATGCACCTACACCTGCCCCCACCCTCATTCGTCCCACTCTGGGCCTTTGAGCAAGGCCCTTAACCCCCATCTGCTCCCTAAACAGGTCTCTCTTGAAAATGAGTTCTTGTGGCTCAATGAGACTAACCTGTATAAATAAAGGCTAAATGGGGAAAAAAAAAAAAAAGAAGATATTTTGCTAACAAACAAACAAACATATACAGACTTTGGCAAAAAAAAAAAAAGTTGCCTTTAAGGGCAGGTGTACTTAAAGTGAAATTACTGTTGAATTAAAAAAAAAAATCTATTAGGTGCATGGATAAAAGTGTGGGGGGGGGGGTGTGCATGTGTGTGTGCGTGTGTGTAGGAATGGGAGTGATTAGGCAGCAGATGCAATTGTCTGGAGTCTATATCTCTATATAACAGTAAGAGGATTATCCAGGCGTGTGCGCGAGCACACAAGAGGCCACGTGCACCCAAATAACCCACTGACACACAAACGTCACTGGGAGAGGCGCGCATCAGAGGTGGGGTGTCAAATGGAGCATATTGACGCGCAGCGTTCACGGCCATTCTGCACGAGCTAAGCTCAGGCTGGACACACACGAGCACTTGCGGGGTGTGCGCGAGCACGCGCGCTGGCACTTTGACACTCAAACGCTGAGAGCGCGCGCTGTACCGCTCGATGAAAGTAGAGCTGGAAAGCAGGCGAACCGGCTCGCACCGTTATCCATCTTCCGGTCGCGCGCATTACTACTAGCTGTAACTCCTCGCGCTGCTGCTGTCGAGTGACAAGCGCTCGGAGGGTGCGGAGGAGAGAGGGGGAGAAGAGGGAACCGGCAGGGACAATGGGACTGGGCTCGTGCTGTTAAACCCGCAGAGACACGCGCGTAACGGTGACATGGACCAGAAGTGAAGTTTGGAGTCTCTGCTGCGAGGATTACACCTGACCGGTCCGGTAAAGAGCGCGAGCTCAGAGTTTTGTCAAAGGGAATAACCTCCTATTGTCCAGTGTAGGTGTGATGGCGCGCGCGCACAGCCGCATGCGGAGCTGGCAGGTGCTCCTGACCATCTCAGCTGTCTTCATCCCTCTGTGTGTTCACGGTAAGACCCTCTAACCGAGACCCACCCTGTGTGCGCGCGCGCGGCTTTGAGCTGGCTGTGTGCGAGGAAGCCGCGCACGTGCGTGAATCAAATCGTACCTGCATTACTGGAAGATTTTAGGCAGCTACAAATGTCATGAATGAAAATATCCATTCTTATTCTGAATAGTCTAAATTTGAACTTCCTGCTGAATTTCTCGAGGATCAATTATTAAAATGAAGTTTGAAGGGAGGCTCATTCATTTGTGTGATTTCTTTGTTGTTTTCTGTTTATTATTAATAAAAGCTGTTCGCCAAGATCTGGACCATAAAGTAACGAATCCATCCACAGACTAACTGTTTTAAAAATGCATTATTTGAAGCCCTGACCGTGTGTTTAAAGGAGTGGGTGTGTTTGATAAAAGACATTTGACAGTTCCCACTGCAGCTGCGACCCGCGCGCGGTGCGTGCACCCCCAGACAAAGAGCACCGTCGGCTGCGTGAAGCTATTTCATGGCGCTAAAAGCACCGAATTCCTTCAGACATTCAGGAGGAACTGGAAACACAGGCGCGCGCGCACACACGCACACACACAAACACAGTGAGTGTGCGTGGGAGATTACGAACATCTTCCATCTTTCCACATGTAGCCATGCGCGCCGCCGCCCAGCAACAGGGTGGCTCGCGCACCCACTGGGGTCGCCGAGGTTCACTCGGGGCGCGCGCCTCGTCTGCGTCGCCTCTCTCGGCCTCGACGTGCAGCCAGCCGGTAACACTGAGACACACTGACCATTAAACACGTCGGACCGGCGGCCTCCCTTCCTCGTGCTTTAACAGCGAGCACGTGCAGAGAAGATGGGCTCAATTAGGTGACATCATTTATTTCATTTTCATTTTCCACGTGCGTGTGTTTGTCTTTTCACAGATATTGTAGTTATAGCTGAGCATAATCCCAACACAGTCCAAGCACTACACCTTATGCAATTTATATATATTTTTTTTGCTTAAACCTTGACATTAATCACTGGAGCCAACCCTGTCTTTCTGTTAGCAAAATATCCCATGAACCACTGGATTTTAGTGTTGGATGGACCTTGAAAACTGATTAACTTTTGGAATTTTGGAGTAGTTCCACAGACTGTGAGGTCCATCTGCCCTAATAACTCATCCATCCATCCATCCATCCATCCATCCATCCATCCATCCATCCAT